ATCAAGAATTTAGCCCCCCCCCCACTCACCCATCGTGCTTCGATGAATGATGCTCGAAACGGGCAGCAAGCCGGTGATAATAGATCATAATGTGAGTAACTAGATGCAGGACCAAGGGGAGTCTTAAGGGATAACGTTTATTGTAGTTGGGGAAAGTGTAGCCTTTAAAAGTCTAATTTTGGAAAACGTAAATATCAACCATTTAAACAAAATTCTTTCTAGTCCTTTGCGATCACTGCCGCTGACTCTTCAGAAAATCACCAAAGGCGAGCCTGAAAAAGCGGATGTTGGTATTTTTGCCATACATAAAAAATACAGCAAAAATAGCAGAGAAAATAACATGGCAGTTGGAAAGATCCTTTTCAGCTTTCATCCCTACTTCAGAACGCGACTCGCTTGCTTGGGTTCCACCATCAGCGGCGAAAACTTATATACCTGCGGTATGTTTGCAGATCGTTTCATTGAAGTCTCTGCTTTAACTGTATTTCGTTAGACGCGAACGAAGTTGAGAACATCCACGTCGAAACGCACCGGCAAGTCAGTTGTTCCAGCACCTTGGACGCTGATGATGCAACGTGTACGATGATGAGCGGATGCCTCAATTCATCGGTGAGTACAAGGTGTTATATGAATGATCCTCTGATCATCACACTTTAAAGGATGCTTATTTTAATCCTCAGGATGTGAATGCGCGTCGTAAATTTTGCTAACCATCAAATCATGCATATTAAGCCTAAGCAATGCGTAAAATTGTCCTGCTCTTCAATATTCTTCACGATTCGTAGATTCTTTTACTAACCAGAAAAAAATTGCCGTTCATGTCAGCGTTTTTTGGATATGCATTAGTAATGCGATACTTGCATAAGCGCATAGGACTGATGAAGGTATGAGGGTTGTCAGGTGAAACATCAAAATTATAATCCTTGAGTTTTTGGCCTATGAACGAGGGAATTAAATACTGCCAGAAGGAAAGAATGACCTGCATATATGAAAGAAGGAACGAAGCAATGCCACAATGATTGAATGATTGAACGAATGAAAAATGACTAAATAAATTGACTAATAACCAAATAAATGAATGATTGAATTATGAACGAATGAAAAAAATAAATGAAGAACTAATTATATAATAGAAAGGTTAACGACTCACGTCTATAAGAGCATACTGAGGATTGAGTTTTTTGGAGTAGGGAATTGTTGCGATCGTGAACGGAATGTGCTTTTGACCTTGGCAAGGCCGGTGTTTACGAAACTGTTGACACATCATTCAAGTTATGCTTTGAAAACAGTGAGTTAACATGACTGCCGCAAGATAATATAATGTATATGCTATTAACGACCGTAGGGAATAAATGAAATTATTTACTAATCCGGCTGAGCGTACATCCTGAAATAGCTCATTCCGTGGGAACTAAAGTGGCAGTCGCAATATGAAGTTTTGAATCCAGTAAGTTTACGTAAACTTTTTATTTCAAACAGAGGAGTACTGCCGCTCTTGCGTAAGAAGGCAGGAAACTACAGCACGTACTGCAATTCGGTTAGGCTGCAGAGTTGTGTTTAAAGTGATAAAGCACCCATGAGTGATGACACTGTAACGGAGATGATGCCGTACCCTCAACTCAACCGCAGTTACGGAAGGAAGTTCAGCATTCTAACAGTAATTAACTTCTTTTCCTAGCTTTCGTTTTTCAGCACGTGACTCTGTCACTGTGCCATGATGGAAGCAGTAACTGCAACATGAAGTTATACAATCTCTTTAAAGACAAAGGAGCACGTGAGATCAAATCAATCAATCAATCAAATCAGTTGGCTGCTAATAGCGGAAATACAACTGAAACTTAGCGTTGATTAACATCTCAGCAATCATTGATCTATTGCGAAAACAATATGCGTGTGACTCAGGACCAAATAAAAGGTATAGTAACGAAACAAGAAGTAATGAATGATGAAGAGGAAACGGACTGACGTATAGAATCTTAATATGTATGAATATGTAAATGAATGCGATAATATGAGAGAATCGATATTCCGCATTTCTCGTTCATCGTTTTGAGAGTCTGAGTTACATGAGGAATCATGGATTTTGTAAATGCTTCAGTTCTCGCATTCATGCCGACACATTGTGGATATTGAGGACCTCGTGGAATGACACATCGACATGCACTTTTAAAAAACCTCGTGTAACGGATGGAAAGCTTAGCTTAAGGTTAGAATAGAATAAAATAGCTTTACAATACATCTTCCGGTCTGATTTCCCACAAAGTCGACCATGTTTTTATAGGACAGCCTGATCAGAATATCTGATCGCATGAAATCATGAAACCCATTGCAAAACTAACGATCACATTACTGCTTACGCCTGCTTCATGCACTTCTGTTCACGTTTCTGAAATTGTTTTGTTAAAAATAAAGTTCAATTCATAAGCTTTAAAAAAATTAAATGACGATTGGTTGAATAATCTAGATGTACAAAGCCTTCATTTTAGTCCCGCGCTGAAGGACCGGTGGTTCAGTTGAAAACGTACAGATATTCTCATACTTACAAGCACACCGTTGTCGGATGGATGGATCGGCGGCACGATACGCCTTTGCCCAAAACCGTTATGACGACCTGTCTGCGAAGCTGCTTCCACTTCTACAAATGTAGCACGGAAAACTGTGGTCAGAGAAGATTTACTCCAATTTCTAAATCAATCGATTGGATAAATAAAGCGGTGGAATTTCTGAAAGATAAATCTGACAAGGGTTATTATCGTGTTTGAAGTTTTTTCGTTGAGGGCGAATCTGCGTAGTAAAATCATGTAATCATTGGTGGCATGAAAAAAGAGCTGATTTCAGGCTTAGCGATTCTTACAGGTTGGTGATCTTGTAGTGTTGGCAGGTTGATCGATGAATCACTTATTTTATCATCTTCCATGTTGGGGGGTGGGGGGCTGGTTCTTTCAGTAATTCTATCCAGGTTATGTGGATTTATTCTTTAATGTATGTGGGTTTCCAAATTCTGCATGTGTTATCTCGCGGGTTTCGGCTTCCTGATTGACCTACACTGCGACTGTAACACTAAGCCGAAAACAGTCATGCGGCCCTTCATCATGAGGTGCAATCCTGCAACTTTTTGGCTGCATATTCCTGCATGCGTAAAATTATGGGCGTGATGCTAAAGTAAGTAATGTCTCCGGAAAAAAATAAATAAACGGAAAAAAGCTCAAATATGCTACTCGAATACCTTTGCCATCCAAGAAGATAACTTGTATTCATTGTAGGAGACCAGCTGTCCATCGTTGTCTTGGTCTTCGTCCATGTCTCGATATGGGAGTCAAAAATTGCTGTAATTTTTTTTCTAGAAGCTTGCTTCTCTCTTTTCCCCCTTAGCACATTTTTCCGTACCGCCGCTCTTTCAGGTCGTTATCCCCGCCGCAGTGACGTCATTCATGGATACCAATCCGTCATTGTTTAAGTTCATCTGTTATACATTAATTGTGAAAATGGACCTCATACTTTTTCTGTGCCTCTTCCAGTTGATTCATTCTGCAGCTTGGCATATTTGTAATTCCTAGCACTTATTTTTCCATTGTTCTAGACTCACTTTTCATACTTCATCATTGTTATTCATTCAAGTCCCATTCTTTCTGAAGATTTAGCCCAGAATAAGTTTTAACTCTTTCCGAAGCATATCTCGGCATTTCACTGAGGTTTAACACCTCAAAAACCATCGTGGATGGTAACATTCGAGGATGAACGCTCAGGAAATAGCAAAGAATTTCGGAATTGTTTAGAAAATTGAGGACGAGTCTCAATGAAAAATGTTTCTTCCGCAGTCCAGCACAGCACAACTAGCCTCTAGGTCTAGGGGAAATGGCAGATGCGTCTTTGTTGAAAGCGTTCTATCCGTTTCCGCTTAGCCGTTAAATGTAAAATTTTTTGAAATAATAAAGATTCATTCGTTTTCAAGGCCCTCTGATCTTTTCCAGTCGCTGAGCAGATTCTTGTGGGAGTCTTTCCGGTCGTGTCGGTCCGCGTGACAGTTATAAGTTTTCTCTATAACCGATTAACCTGGTTTTTCTCAGCCGTCTCATCTGTGGCTTTTCTCTGAGAATACGTTTGGAGAGTATCTCACGTGAGATCCTCATCATTGCCTGAGTCACAATTGTGATCTTTTAGCTTGGTTTAGGAGTCGCCCACGATAAAGGGTATCTCAAACGTTGTTGAAGCTTATGCAAAAGCGATCCTTCAAAGGAAAGGCAGTTTTGACGCCTGTATGAATGTGTTTTAACCGCTTAAATATACGGATCATGGCCGTATCTTTATGTATCTAAGAGCAGATTGCATTCTTTCAGTCGATACCCAGCGCCAATGACTACAGATGAGTGTATGTATTTATGTACAGTTGAAGATAATTGGCTTCAGCTCAACCTTAATCATCACAGGCTGATTTACACTCCGTATTACAGGACATTACAATTGATACAGATGCCAAGCAAAAGGCACATCCATAAAATGCATGTTTGGAAGGGAATTATTAGTCGCTCGCTTTTCATTTGATCGAATTTGATAAATAAATACTACTCTGCAGGAAGGACACAGAACATAGACCTTAAAATGATTTATACTCCTGACAAACTGTAGAGAAATGTGTGATGTTCAACGTTGCACCACTAACATCATG